CAACGTTACGAGACAGCTGAGATACTTGACTGGTGCCTCAGGGAATTCGCCCTGTCAGCCTTGTGCTCGTCTAATACGGTTCGCCGTGGAGGAATACCTCTCGTGTTGAATGTCCATTGTGTGGAGACGATACACCTCCTGCGAGAGGAGTATGCTTATCGAGTGATCCTTATCGAGAACAAGGAAGTGGCCGTCGACCATGGCGTAGGCAGGGGCTACAACTCGGTCAGCTCCCATACGGTAGCTCCTTGTAGTTACCCTTCATCGACCTAAGTTGCCAGGCATCTGCACGGGCCGAGATATCTACACCTCGAGTGTTGTTCGTTGGTGGGGGAGAGCTCGAAGGAGTTGGACCGCTCATCCCGAAGGTCGCTGATGCAATACTGAGCGTGAGCGTCTGCTACACAGTATTGACCAGCCTCATTGTACTCTCACAGATTCCGACTGTTTTCGGCCACCATCACAGCTACAATGTGTGTACTGCGATGACTTTAGCGATGTTCGAACGATATCGATTCACTAAGACCTGGCCTCGACCCAGCACGCTGCCACCATTGTCAGACGAGGAGCTTGCTGCTCTACGCGAGCAGAGGGTAGGAGCGAGGGGGAAGGAGCATGATCAGTTCTAGTTTCGTTTCTGGTAATGGAGTTTTTCTTGTGCTGATAAAGTAGCTCGGGGAACCTGGGCTTTCGGAGGGGGGTCTCTAACACTACTACGTGCCAGCAGTGCTCTTTTGTATTACTGCTGTAGATTTTTGTATTCTATGAACACCGGACGGGCCCTCATTCACGTCGGAGAGGGGCTTTTGACGTCGGCTGCCTCACGCTGCTCTGCTGGCGATGTGGTCCCTCGAGTGATGACTCCTGAGGATATCCCTCGAATAGCATGCAGAACACTGCAGAAGATGACTACTAGCTTTGAATGGCTCGCCCGGAGGATATCCTTGTCCGGTCAGATGTCACGCTCCCAGGTGAAGTTAACTGATTCCATCTGAAATCTAAGAGCTCTGTCTTCAGGCGGAGGTGGCCATTAGGAACGGCGAGGTTGTTGTCGACGGTCAAGTAGTCCGCCACAACGTGCAGGTCTCCGACCACTGTGATGTTATCTGTCGAGATCAGCCAGTGGAACCACCAGGGTGGGCCTATTCCGTATCTTGTGTACCGTGACCTAAGATATCCCGCCGCAGAGATCCAAAAGTTTGGCTTATCAACAAGCCTCGTGGCGTCGTCTGCAGCGCAACTCGGATACGCGGTCTGACAACCCTTCCTGACTTGTTCGAGATTTGGCACAAACGACGAGTGTGTCGGTCCCCAGCCTGCGTCCGTATGACTTGTGTTCTTCACAGGCTAACGAACTCAGCCATAACATCAACAACGTCGATCTCATTCCACCCCACTTCATCGTTATCAATCCTATACCCGTGATGTGCTCCGGTCTAGTCATTCTCACCAATGATGGCGAGTTCGCCCACAACATGGCCCATCCTCGCAGCAAAGTTCTCAGTGAGTGCATGAGCCGATGCTTTCCTCGTATAGTATACTCCATACTAAGGTGTATTCCTCGTCCGAGTCAAAGGTAGATTGCCAGAGGACCGCTTCAAGAGCTGGAGACGCAGAGAAGGTGTGAAAGTAGGCAATGTCGCTTACGGACAGGTAAGCGTAACTCCTAGTATTGTGGTCTTTCTTCCTTGTACACTGGATAGGTGTTCGTTGGAATAGACAAGCGACCCAGCGAGGACGTCACCTGGTTACGAGTTCGGCTGGTCATGACCAATGAGAAGAACTTAGTGAAGTTGTTCAGGGACACTTACAAGCTCCGGGCAAGTCGACATCGGCCACGTTGGTTGATTAGCGAGCCATTGTCGCGTGCCTTAGGTCACGAAGATCAACTCGTCATCATTTGGACCGTACAGATCGAGTACTGCTTACGTTGATTATATCTGTCCCCAGCCAGTGAGTCCTCACGTACGGCATCTAGCTCCGAGGAGGATCGCTAGAGACGCTATCATGGCGGCTAAAGGTCGGTCGATCCCTAGGACGTGGCAATGATCCTGGCTGAGTCGGTAGGTACCCTGGTCAATCCCATTACGGGTGAATTCGTATCCATATTCGATCAAGCGCGGCATTCGCTCGCTATAGGGGAGGAGCCGCCACCACAGATCGATATTGGGAGGAATGACGAGGCGTTACGGATACCTGAGTGATGAGTGATT